GAAGGGAGGGCTAGGAATGGGGAAAAATAAGAACCACGATGCATTATGTAAAGGTACAATTCCCAATGAGATATGTAATTGTGTTGTATACCTACAATGTACCAATAAAAGAATTTAATAAAAATCACAAAAAATGAATAACTGATAATGTGAAATAGGAAGAAAATGTCCAAAGTGTTAGGGGTGGTGGGAGAGGCAGGGGAAAGGGAAGAAGGGAAAGGAAAAATTATGAGAAAAGAAGAAAAATGGAAACAAAGTCTATGTAAATAGGGAAGGGTGGAGGGGGTGAAGGACCCACAGGTAATGGGGAAAAAATAAGAACCAAGATACATCATGTACAGGTACAAGCACCCAATGATAAATGTAAACATATTGTATACCTAATATGTACCAATAAAAGAATTTAAGGGAAAAAAAAAGAAGTAGGGTCTTCATAAATATTTATTGACCTGAACTGAATTAGACAACATAAACCACATTAAAAAATCTGAGTAATTACTGAATTAAACAATTGATATAAAAAACACACATTTATACTTTTACTTCCTCACTTCATCTTCACCCAATTAGTCACTCAGATATGAATGGCAGAGTCAAATACTGGCAGAATCTCCTGTCAGAGAATAGTCCTCAAGGAAACTGAAAAGGAAAGAGGAGCAAGAAGTAAGAGTATTGAGTGCCTAATGGGTGAAAGGCTAAGAATTCCTAAAGGAACCATAGAAGATCCCTCACAATCCCACACTGAATGAAGCACTACACTGTTGCCCAGAAAATGTCACATTTATTCACTTGTGCATGTAAATATTGGGCTAAATTGTAATTGCACTGCCATCATGGAAATGTGTAACTATTTAGTGCATTAGTCTGGTAAGATTACACTTCTCTTAGGTGAATCTTAGAAATTTATAAACTTTCTCATTGAACTTTAGGGAGAAATATAAGCTATGTATAAACAAAAGCTATGACAGAACTGAAGTTAATTTTCTTCACTGATTAGATGAATAGAATCACATAATTTTAGGATCATAAAGGAATTTTATACACTCAACAACCAGTCAATATAGCTTTATTGATGTATACAGACCTCAGAAAAGCTAATCAAACTTTTTGTAAAATTTACTGCCTAATTAACAAAATGTAAATGCCAATTCTGAGTAATTCTCCACATGAAACACACACTCTACCCCCGACGGGTGCTGCAGATTCACTTTCAAATGATCTCTGAGCCTGCGGATTACACACACTCTACCCAGATCATAGTAGGTTATCTATGTCAATGCTTTACCTTTGGAGAAGAGGGTAAAATTTGAAGAGAGAAAAGAAAATTGAAGCTCTAAAAAATAATTATCTAAGTACAAGGTGGTCTCAAACTGCAATATTGTAGTGGTGGGTTCAATTTTCTACTTTAAAAACTATACTATGTTTTATATTTTGCATTTCCTTTATTTTTCTTTTGATTTCCTTTTTTCTCAGTAGAGTTCCAACTTCTTTTTCGTTGCTAAGAATAAACTGAAGGAAGGTGTTTATTTTGTTGACACTAAGACCACACATAAAGAAAAAGCAACCAGCCTCTAGGAACCTTGAAGACAGGAATGAAAGTTTTGCTGTAAGACAACAAAAGTTTAGAATAAAACAATTTAGGTTGCTACTGTTTCAAGAACACCTTTCAGTGATCATTTCTTGAAGATCCATTATACTTTGTCAGATTCTCAGATATAATTTAACTGAAAAGAAGAGACATAAATCAATTAAAAGTTAACCATACAAGGTTATAAAACAATTTAGAATGTGTACATGTCATATTAGTGATGAAAACAATAAATAATATTATGAGTTTATAGGAAGAAGAGTCCAAGTTCCTGTGAGCCATTTTATCTTCACAGAAAATGGTCCCTAAGCCATCCCAGACAGATATACTTGATATTTTAGTGTTCTAACTCCTATTCCTGGCAAATTAGATCTTTGGATAGGAATTTGCAAATTATTTCCTCTTAGAACTTTATAATGAAATATTTATAATAGAAAATAGGAGTAAAATCATGGTTTCATAGAGGAATATTTTATACTACTGTGTTCATCTTTAGATATACAAACTGTGCTCACAAGAGCAAACATCTGTAAGAAGTCATGGTCTGTAGTTTAAGAGCCTCCCTACACCCCAAATAGAAAAATGGACGGTAAAGAAGGAGTCACAGAATTCAATGACTAGCCCTAAATCCATCAGTAAGTCTTTGATGTTACATCACAAACTGAATCTGTACTTAAGGCTGCTAAGTTTTGTGGTCTTCTTGTACTGCTTCTAAGGTCATTAACTTCCTTTTCAATCTTGTAATTTCTGTGTAGGCATCCCCGACGTTACAACATAAGAAACACTGACAACCATAATAAGAAACATTTGTGAAGAGTACTACAGTGCCAGAAAAAGGTATGACTGCCTTTTCAAAATGAATCTTGTTTTTTCAACTTGCAATTATCTTAACAAAGATTCCTTCATAGTCTACACTAAAATAAAATCAATTATGTTTATGTTTATTGCTTGTTTCCATTAATCAATGACTCATTTGTTTTGACTTGACTTAATTATAATCAAATAATTCAATCTAAATATTGAAATTAATAGAAAAGTTTATTTGTGTCTATAAAGGCTGGGGAACTTATGAAAGGAACTAGACATCATTTATTTATTTGTATATTTTTATTCTCATATTTACTAGTTTTATTTAGTATCTTTCATTCAAATATCTGAGAACTAAATTTATTTTAATATGGAACAGATGAAAAATAATCAGCTTTACCCATTGCTGTAGCAAAATACCTAACACCCACAATTTAAAGAGGAGGTTTGATGTAGCTCACAGTTTTAGAAGATACAGTCAATAATCAGCTGGCTCCAAGAAGAAACATGATGGACATGTATGATGGAGCAAAGCTGCTCAGTTCATGTCAGAGAGGAAGTAGAGCAGGGGAAGTGTGCCAGAGAGGATGAGACCATGGACCAGATATAGCACGCAAAGTCACACCTCCATTAGTCACCAAGACACACCCATAATCCCCTAGGTGGCTCACAAGCCAATCAAATTAACGATCCAGCTTAAATGTCACATTCAAGCCCTTCTCAAATTGACACCCCAACACATCTCCTCAAGTCATACTTAATCTCCAAATAAACACAAGGTCATACTTCTACCCATCATGGTATAACTATCCTGTGTGCAACCAAAAATTCACTAATACCCTCCCCAAAGTCTCAACAATTCCATCATTGCTCAAAAGTCCAAGTCCAAAGTCTCTCTTGAGACTCATGGGGATCTCTTGGCCCTGAATTTCCATAAAATTCCAAGAGCAAATTACATATTCACAATATACAATGGCACAGGGTGACCATTCCCATTCCAAAAGGGAGGAATAGGGGCATAGAAAAGAGTAGGACCATACAATGCCAAAACACTGTAAGACAAACAATAAGTCCTCTAGCTCCATAGGCATTCAAGGCACATAGTGGTGAAATGTGAGCTCCAAAGGGGCTTGAATAGCACCACCCCTATGGCCTTGCAGCCCACATGGCCTCTATCTTGGGGTGGTTCTGCTCTTAATCCTACAGAATACCTAGGAAGACATTCCACATTCCTGGTATCTCCAACTTGCTGTGTTCTCCACTGCATCTTCAGCTTCATTCCCACAGCTTCATGTATCCACCTCTTGGGGACACATTCCTTGGTTTCCCAGGCCTTCCTTTAAAATTTGGGTGGAGGCCTCCACAATGCCAGAACTTTTGCCTTTTGCATACCTAACCAAACAGCATCATGTGAACAATGCCAAGGTCTCCTTCCAGCTCAAGCAGTAACCAGGCCCCCTTGGACCACAGATACCATGGCCTGTGAGTGCCTGGATGGCTGAGCACTTTGGAATGAATCCCAGGGAACAAATTCCCTAGGAGGCCCTTCTTGAGCAGGAGGCCCACAGACTCTCCTCAAATAAAAGATTTACACTCTTGCGCACTTCAGTCTGCAAAGGATGTGGTCTTGCCAATTCCTAAAATGCCCTGAGGGAATCTTTCTTCTTGTTTCCATTCAAAATACTTGGTTTCTTCTTTTTTTCTAACAATAGCAAAGTTTTACTAAAGGTAGGAAAAGAGTCTCTGCTGAGCAAGTTTGGGCCAAGTAAAAATAGGAAAAGAAGTACAACCTACAGCATGAGGGTAAGCCACCATGCCAGAGAGAACACAGTGGCACAAACTCAATGTAGACTGTCTTTTTCGTATCACCCACTCCTCAGGATGACATCAAGTCTATGCTATCCTAACAAAAACCTGCTCTAGTTCGCATAAGAAATCCATGTGTAGGGCTTTGGGAACTGCTCTGTGCATGTGTCCTGGGATTTTGTAATTGACAGGTCACACCTGCTTCCCCAGCCATCTTTGCCACACCTTAATCTCATGTCTCATTTTCCCCTGAGAGCCACATAGCCTCATAACTCTTTATGGAGTACTGGGAGTGGAGGTCTCTGTCTTCAATAGCTTCTTCTGGGCTGAGGGGCTATAGACCTTACCTACTGGGAATTATGCGCTCTCCACCTACCTCAGGGTGTTGTGGCTCACTGGTGGGGTTGAAGAAAAAAAACCTGTCAGAAGACAATGAGAAGAGAGTTAGTGAATATTGAGCTGTCTGTTTAATGGGAGAAAAAAATAACTTTATTATATTGGGGGAGTAGAGCCCAAATATGAGGAGCAGATCAGATTTCCACACTTCTTGTAGAGGACAAAGTATGGCAAAGGGGAAGGTTAGATAAATTATTGAGAGCCTGAGAGCCATAGCGTTACCAAGATTACCCACATAATGGATCTAATTAAAAACATGAGCTTCAGGGCCAGGGATTTAACTCAGTAGCACTGCACCTGCCTGGCGAGAGCAAGTTCGAAATTGCTGAGTTCAGTCCCTGGTACAAAAAAAAAAGACAAAAACATGGGCTTCAATACAGGTGCCCCTTTAAGCTGTGGTAAATTAGGGTCATCAGTGAGTACTTATCTGCACCCAGAGCAATACTGTACTAGAATCTTGCTTGCTGAAGAGGACCCTACAGCAATACTGGAGTCTTACTTTCTGAAGAGGCCTCAGGTCTTCCAGAGGTTCTCAGGAATAGCTTTCTTCTTAGTCCTGTGAAAATTCTAGTGACCATTTCCTATAGTTTTTATAGCTTGTCACTGCATCACTTAAGGAATGACCAGAATGGTTCCTCAGGAACTGGGAATAAGGCTAAGGTCTTAAGAGGTTGTAGGACTGCCCCCTTTTTTTAATGGTGCCAAAAGTTTATTTGAAAAGTGAGGGGTGGATAGGTATGAAAGAAACCAGCTCTACAGAGTGAACTTGAGCCAAACAAAGAAAAATAGGGTAAAATCAAAAATAAAATACACACTGTGTCTGGGAAATGCAGTGCAGGCTATCACAGGAACTCACAATAGTAGCTCCCAGTGGTATCTGTCTTCTTTTATGCCCTACACATCTCATGGGAGCTCATGAGAAGTTCTACATATGGAGTCCTGGAAGTTCCCTGGGATCTTGTAATTGACAGGTCCCACTCATTTTTCCCAGTCAGCTCTACCATTCCTTATCTCCTATATCATTTCCCCCTCAGAAACATAAATCCCGTAAATCTTTATGGGATGCTGAAAGAGTGGAGGTTTCTGTCTTTTATGGCTTCTTCAAGCCGAAAGGAGTTGTAGACCCTACCTACTAGGGATTATGTACTCTCCAACTACCTTGAGGTGTTGTGGCTCATGGCTGAGCTAAGAAAATAAAAACTCATCAGAAAATAATGAGAAAAGAGTTAGTAACCTTCGAGCTGCCTGTTTGATGGGAGAGAGAAACTTTACTATTATCCTAGATGTGAGGAATAGGTCAGACTTCCATGCTTCCTGTAGAGAAGAATGTATGTTACAGAGGTACGTCGGATAAATTATAAAGAATCTAAGATCCATGACCTTAGCAAGGTCTTATCTGTAGCAACAACACCAGAGACTTGCTTTTTGAAAAAAAAACTCAAAAGTCTTCCAGAGGTTCATAGGAGTAGCTTTTTCTTTTTGAGTGATCACGTTCTTTAGACAGTTCAGGTGGTACTACCTTTAATCTAGAAAGATGAATCCAATTATCTATCTCTGCCACCTTTACTGCAATAGGTGTTGCAAGAATCATTGACTGGGTCTGTTGGTGTTACCTCTCTCCAAGTTTTTACAAGCACTTGGTCTCCAGGCCAGACAAAGCGGTCCCACTGGGTGTGGACCTGGCAGGACTCTCCTTCCATAGATTTCGATAGCTTATTATACTTAGCCCAGATTGATGAGATATTGTGAGTCTCATAGTCTCTAGGTGTACTTTCATATCAGAGGATAGAAATGGCCTTCTGTTTAACATCTCAAATGGGCTCAAACTTAGCCCAGTTTGGGGCATGTTATGAACCCTCATGAGTGCTACTGGTAGCAATCAGAGTCAGGACTCAGATGTCTTTTTGCAAAGTTTTGTCAGAGCTCTCTTTAGGGTCTTGGTAGCTCTTTCTACCATTTCAGAAGATTAAGGCCACCAAGTGGAATGAAGTTGGTACTTTATTCCTAAAGCCTTTGCCCTCCCTGAGTTATTTGGGAGGCAAAAAAAAAAAAAAGCTCCATTGTCACTCTGGACAAACTGTGGTAGTCCAAATCTAGGGATGATTTCTTTAAGAAGTACCCTGACTAGCTCTGTAGCCTTTTCTGAATGGATAGGAAAGGCTTCAATCTATCCTGTAAAGGTGTCAATTAGGACCAACATCTGTTTAAATCTTTTACATGGTGGTATATGGATAAATTCTAATTGCCAGTCTTCTCTGGGGTATTTCTCTTTCCTCTGTACAGTTTCTAATAGAGGAGACAGTTTGGGCTTGCTTAACTTGTAGGCACAAAGTAGGCAAGCTTTCCAGACCTATTCAGTGGTTGTACCTAGTCCTAATACTGTGAAAACTCAAGTGACCATTTCCAATGTAGAATCTCTTCCCATAAGGAAGGAACCATGAAGTGTTTTTATAGCCTTCCACTATATCTCTTGGGAAAGAACCAGTTTATTTCCTAAATACATCAGAGTCCCTTTTTAATTCTTATAAATGTATAAAACCTAAACAACCTAAAAAAAACTCAACCACACCAAAAAAATGAAAAGAAATCACGCAAACAAGGAGAAGGAAAAATAATAAAAATACTAAAATTCCTCTGGTGTCCACAGTTCTGTATTAATGTCTGAAACAGAGCCCATAAATGTGCTGTGCAGCACTGCCAGGTCTGCAGTGACCCAGCTATTCCCCTTCTGGGCATCTTCCCAAAAGAATTAAAAGCATCATACCACAACAATAAATGCACATTCATGTTTACAGCGACACAGCTTGTAATAGCTAAATCTTGGGAACAACCCAAATGCCCATCAATTGATGAAAGGATAAAAAAGATGTGGTTTTTTTTATACAATGAAGTACTACTTAGCCATAAATAAAGAGAAACTAGAGACACTTATAGCTAAATGGATGCACATTGAGGCTATACTCTTAAGTGAAATAAATAGGACACACATGTGTAAATATCACATTGTCTCTCTAGTTTGAGAAACTAAAAGGGTAAATAAAGACTAAAATATATAATAGATAATGCAAAATAGGAAGAAATTGTTCAAAAGGAAAGGAGAACTGGGAAGGGGGTAAGAAGGAAAGGAAAAGAAAAAATTAGAAAAGAAGGAAAAATGGAAACAAAGCTTTTGTAAAAAAGAGAGGGTTGAAGGGAGGAGAGAGGATTGGGAGAAAAAGAGGAATCAAGATATACTATGTACAGGTACAAATTTCTTATGATGAATGTGATCATTATGTGTATTTAAATTGTATCAATAAAATTAATTTTTAAAATCTCAACAGCACCATCTAGTGCCTCACAGCATTATACTAAGCAGTTCAAGAACACCTAACACAGGATTAGCAAAAATCATTGAATTAACTTTGGGCGATGTAAATGGTAGCAGTAATAAACCTGGGAAGTTACCTCTCACCTGCGATCACTTCTATAGTTGTTTCTGTAACCTTGGTATGGAGAAGAGATCAGTCCCATGCATTGTTAGCAGTTCTTGCATGCACAAGCAGTCTGCCTACCTTACAAACCCCAACCCCTCTCTTACCAGAGAACAAGAAGTTTGTAAAATAACAACAAATAAGGCTTCAATCAAAGATTATCTACCATATTATATATTGATGAGTTGCTTCCACTTGCATAAGAAATAAAAGGGGAATCTAGAGAACACTGAAGAAATTACTAATTCTATATGATCTGATCCCTAGGTCGCTCTGATCAGAGATTAACTGTCCTGATGAACTTAAGTAGACCAAGTAACAACTTCTTGCTATAAGAGAAATAATTGTATATGGAAAATATAAACATTTTGAGAATATATCTAGGAGGAGAAAAGGATGGACAGCTACAAAAATTTTCTTACTCAACAAGCATATTTTCACTAGTTATACCTCATCTTTCCACAGAGCCTTAAATTATGATACAGATTTTTAAAATGTATTTTACCCCTAACATAATTAAATGGCCTATAAGTTTTCTCCAGTTATCATGTTCTGGGTTTTAAATAGAGTTAACTACATCCTGTACTAAGAATCTCCACCACAGGAATGAGTTTCACTAATAATAAACTAAATTATTTTTACCTAGTATGTGTTATGTAGGAAGCCTCTTCTCAAAGGAATCAAATATTTTCATTCATATTTTATTCTCTAACAGAATTCAAAGCTCTTAAAGTAGAGATGTATAGATCAATGGATGGATAGAAATTTGTAAAACTGTTATCTTTAAAGTTTTCTTTAACAGAAAAGAATCATAAATTTATTTAAAAGGAAAATGTATAGAATAATATAAAATTATTATGACTTAAAATATGGAAATATATTTTACCTAGGTCTTAAAGTTTAAGAGGAAGCCCATCAGGGGCTGGGGACGTAGCTCAGTTGTGCCATGCCTGTCTGGAAAGCACAAGGTCCTGAGTTCAATTCCCAGTACACACACCCCCCAAAAAGAGGAAGCCCATCAGGCCAACATGGATGGGAAAGGACAAAAAAGTGTTTTCATGGTGACTGCAGCACTCAAATCCTTCTCTGGGGCCAGAGTGCTTCTGAATCTCTCATTGCTTTACAACTCTTGCTTACTAGTCAAAAAGTATACATAAGGGCCAGGGATTAGCTCAGTGGTGCCAGCGCCTGCCTGGCAAGTGCAAGGTCCTGAGTTTGATTCCAGGTACTGAAAAAAAAAGAAACTGTAAAATAAAAGGATACATAAGACCTAGATATAAAAACAGACCTTTGAAACTGCTGGAAGATAACACAAGAGAAACACTTAAAGCATTCAGCACAGGCAAGGACTTCCTGAGCAGAACTTCAGTAGAACAGAAAATAATACCAACAACCAACAAATAGGATGATATCAGATTAAAGAGCTTCTCCACAACAAAGGAAACAATTGACAGAATGAAGAGACAGCCTACAGGATGGGAAAATTTTGCCAGCTAGTCTTCTGACAGAGGACTAATATCTAGACTAAATAAAGACTTCAAAAAATTAACTCCCAAAACAAATAACCCAATAAAAAATAGGTTGATGAACTGAATAGATACTTCTCAAAAGAAGAATAGAAATGGCAAATAAGTGCATTAAATAATTTTAATCATTTCTAGCCATTAGGAAAATGTAAATCAGGCCAGGGATGTAGCTCAGTGGCACCGCACCTGCCTGGCAAGTGCAAGTCCTGTGTTCAATTCCTGGTCCAAAAATAAATAAATAAATAAATAAATAAATAAATAAATAAATAAGAAAAATTTAAATCAAAACAACTCTGAGATTCCATCTAACCCCACTTAGAATGGCTATTATCAAGAACACAAAAAGCAGCAAATGGTGGCGAGGATGTGGGAAGAAAGGAAACCTTCTACATTGTTGGTGGGAATGTAAACTAGTAAAACCAGTATAGAAATCAGCATGGGAAACTCCTCAAAAAACTAAAACTAGAAATTCCATTTGATCCAACTATACCTCTTCTGAGTATATTCCCAAAAGAGTTTAAGGCATCATACTGTACAAGTAGTGATACATGCATACCTATATTTAGAGCAGCACATTTCACGATAGCTAAACTCTGAAAATAGCCTGGATGCCCATCAGCAGATGAATGGATAAAGAAAAAAGTGGTGTCTATACTGAATGGAATAAAGAAGAATGAAATCATACCATTTGTAGGAAAATGGATGGAGACCTTTCCACCACTCCCAGCCCAGAGGAAGGGGCTTCTGGACCACCATTCCACTGCTCCCAGCCCAGAAGTAGGGGCTTCCGGGCCACTGTTCCACCGCTCCCAGCCCAGAGGAGGTGAGCCACGCGGGTGCCAATAGCACTACCACCACCACCACCCCACCCCACCCTGTCTTAATGAGAAGACACATAAACAAGTCTCAAAAACAGACTTCCAGATTACCTAAGCAAACCCCAAAGGGAAACGTGATGGAACACTCTGATACTCAACCACCTGGACTCCCTGA